TGGGGTACCCAGGGTCAATGGGGGGGACAGGGTGGCCACCCAGGGTGGATGGAGTGGGGTGAGCAGGGTGTGTGTGTGGGGGGGGGATATGGGGACACTTGGGGTGCAGGGAGGGGACACAAGGACACTGTGGATGTGTGGGGTGGATGGAGCGGGTGCACGGATGGCCAGAGGGCACGGGGAGGACATACGGACACTCAGAGTGGATGGGCAGGGTACGGGGAGGGGACCCAGGGACGGACCCAGGGACGGACCCAGGGACGGACCCAGGGACGGACACAGGGACGGACCCAGGGACACGCAGACAGCCGGGCTGCAGGGAAAGGACGCAGGGACACGCAGGGCATGCATGGCATGGACACAGAGGGTGCAGACAGACAGATGGACGGACGCCCAGTACGGACTCGGTGGCCAAGAGCTTGGCTGTCAGCCGGTTCCTCCTCACGGCCACCATCAGCCAGCGCTGGCAGAAGAGGTAAGCACAGGCCACGAGCCCACAGATGGTCCTGTGAGGAGAGGGCAGGTAGGGCACAGGCAGGGCACAGACAGCACCCCAAGAACGCACCCTCCGTACCCCAAAATCAGGAAAAAGAAAGTCTCCAGGAGGTCAAAGGGAAAATCAATCTTGAGGTCGCTCTTGAAAACAGCAGCGATGGTTTCTGGGAGCAGGGACAGGAATGAGGGCGTGGGTTTGGGGGTGAGAACCCCAAAAATGCCACGGTGGGAGGGTAAAGGGGAAAAGGGGGCACGTTCTGCCTGCCCTGCCTTGCCTTGATCTCTGTTGAACACGGCCAGGAGCTTGAACATGAAGGCCCCGCAGGTGGCGGCGAAAAAGCCGCGCCAGTAATCCCGCACGGCAAAGTGGGGGGACATCACCTCGATGCTGAAAAGCACCCCTGGAAAACCAGGAAAAGGGATCAGGGCGATGTTTAGGGGGGCCCAGGGTGGGATTAGGGGGGTCCTCACCGCTGATGGGTGCGCCGAAGACTGAAGCCACCCCTACAGCTTGAGCTGCCACCAGCATCTCGTGCTGCTTGAACTTGTTCTGTAGGGTGAGGAGGATTAAACCCCGGATTTTTTGGGGTAAAATCAAATCCCTCCATTAATTTTTTTGGGCGGTGGCACCCCCACCTCATACTCCCTCGTGACCGTGGTCCTCATCTTCCCCAGGTACGCTGCGGCCATGGCGGAGAGGTGGACATAGGGACCCTGGGGGGGACACGGGGCTGAGCATCCCCCCCAGCCCGGCTCCAGCTGGATCCACCAGGGGTCTGGGGGCTCAGAAGGGGATCCCTCACCACTTTCCCAAGGAAAACGGTGCTGCCGCACGACAGGGTGCAGGTCAGCCCCACCACCTTGGCTCCGAAGTTCTGGATGGCCAGGTAGTCCTCCAGCAGCACGCCCATCAGGATGGTCTTCAGCTCCGGGATGCCGGAGCCTGGGGTGGAGGGGGCAGGATCCAAATTTGAGGGGTCCCTCGTTTTAGCGAGGGGGTATTTTAGGGAGGCAGGGAGGTCTGGCTCACCTCCGGAGTGCGGGGTGATGCTCTGCGAGAAGCCGGTGGAGAAGGTGGCCAGTGCCGTGGGGTACAGGGTCCACGAGAGGTACTTGAGCACCGCGATGTCCCCGATCTCTTGGTACAGCCACATGTGGGCTGGAGCAGAGGTGTCGGGAGGGGAGATGTAGCCCCCGAAAGCCCCCCTCCATATTCTGGGTGAACCCCCCGGCGCCGGTGCAGCCCCCCCGGGCTCCCCTCCTTTACCCGCTTGGAGCCTGGCGACGACGATGTCCGTGGTGAAGCTGATGGTGGCCATGAGGACCCCCAGAATGAAGAGGAAGTACCAATCCTCCCCCACGCGGAACAGCTGCCGCTTCACCCACTCCAAGCACCCTGCGAGGGGGGAAAACAGGGCGCTGACCCCCTCCAAAAAAAACCCCCACCCCCAGACTCCCCCTTTTTGGGTGGGGGTCTCACCTCGGACCCTTCTCCGGGCGGTGGGGCAGGGTCTCCAGCTGTGCTCCGACACCAGCACCCTCTCTTCCTCCCCCTTCCCCTTTTCCCCCCGCAGCCCCTCGGGGCCGGGGCGCTCCATCCCAGGCGCGTTTTTGGGTTTTTGGGATCTGCACCCCCCGAGCCGCCCTCCCGCCCGGGCTCCGCTGCCCGACTGAGCTCGCAAACTTTCGTTTTCATTAAAAACGACCTTGACGAATCCCACGGACCCGCTCGGGCCGGAGCGAGCCGGGTTTCCTCCCCCCTCCTCCACCCCGATCCCAACGTACATCCCGCGGCGGGGAGGATTTAATAAGTATTTTAATTAATTATCGTGATTATTCCTTAATAATGGGCATTGCATTCCATGGCGTTGAGCTGGGGGGAGCGGGGGGGGGGACAGAGAGGGGAAAAATTTCCACCGTCTCCGGCGCAAGACCTAAATTTAGCCGGTTTTACGAGAGGTCTGGCAGGCGGCCGGGAGCCTTAACGAGGCTTTAAAAAGCTCGTCAAGTCGAAATATCCCGAAATAACCGATCCGGCGTCGCCTTCGCCGGGAGGAGAACGAGGAAGGGGGTCCCGCTCTTCCCCCCGGGGGTCGCAGGAGGTGGCAGGCGGTGGGTGAAGGTGAAATCCTCGCCCTCCGGCACTATGGAGCTTTTCGGGAGCTTTGTCCGGCCCCACGGGGAGACCTTGGGGTTCCCAGGTGAGTTTGAGGGGGTGTTTTGGGGGGGATCCTCAGCAAGCCGTGGCTGTGACCCCCCCAAACGCTGTCGGGCAGCTCGCCCCGGTAACACGGGCGTGGTGAAGACCCTGGGGAACACCTATCAGTTCACGGTGGATGTCAGCGACTTCGCGCCCGAGGACATCATCGTCACCACCTCCAACAACCAGATCGAGGTGCACGCAGAGAAGGTGAGTACTCCCTGCTCACCCCTAAAGCGGGGCACCCCAAAATCCTCCCCGGGGGATGCGGGGACCACCCAGATCCCGCCCAGTTCCCAAACAGCTGCGGCCGCAACCCCAGCGGCGATTAATTCACCGTTAATTAACGGGGACCGCAGGGAATAATGAGTCCCTATTCCGCTCGCACCCCAAAATCGCCTCTTTTCACCCATTTCTTTTTCTCTCCCAGCTGGCCACGGATGGCACCGTCATGAACACCTTCACCCACAAGTGCCAGCTGCCCGAAGATGTGGACCCCACGTCCGTGTCCTCCTCGCTGGGGGATAACGGGATGCTGACGATCCGGGCTCAGCGCCGGCCGGCCAAGCACTCGGAGCACGTCCAGCAAACCTTCCGGACTGAGATCAAGATCTGAGGGCTCGGGGGGCTCCTTGCCCCCTCCCCAGCACCCCCCATTTCCCTCCCTCGCTAATTAAACGGGTGATTTCGGAATGAGGTGGGATACGGGGTAGGGAATGGGAGCGCTCCCTCCGCAGTGGGCTCAGACCTGCGGTGATCGTGTTCCGTCACCCACCGGAGAAATTCCGGCCGGGAGTCCCAGCTCCGGCAATTTTTAGCTGGCGCGTGTTGAGGGGTGAGATCCAGCGTGCCAAGAATCCTGCCGGGAGCCAGCTTCCCTTCCCAACCCTCCGCCAGAGCCTGTCTTTGTATATAGAGCTTGGGATAAATTATTGGCAACGTCTGACTGCCGCCTTCTCCGTTTTGTTGTTTTGGGTTTTTTTTATATTTCCTTGATGCTTTACCCACCAGAAGGGGTGTGTGTTCAGAGCCCAGGGGTGTCTCGGAAAGGGATATTCTGCCATCCCGACAGAATCCCGCACCAGGAGCCGCTCGGGCGCCCGCTGCCCTGTTTATTTCCAGCCCGGGGTGACTCATTTCTTCCCCGAAGCTCTATTTCTGAGCCATCCCCTCAGCTGTCCGGCTGCCGACCCACCTGGAAGGGCACCAAACCCTCCTCCCCTCGCCCACCCTCACCCAGCAGCGCCCTGGGGATGGCACAAGCCGGGATGACGGCCCCAAAGCCGAGGGTTTCTCCTCGGGGAAGGGCAGAAGCTCCCCGCAGGCTCGGCTCGGTGTGTGCACCCACAACAGCGAGCGCCGGCCGCCTGTTTATGGCTACACACGGCTGGTGTGGCCGTGCCCGAGCCACTCGTGACTGCAACCAGCGCTCTGGCAGCGTCCCAGCCTCGGCTGAGGGCACTCGGGGAGCTGTCCCCGGAGGAGGAAGGGTTAAAAGTGGAGAGAGGAGCTCCTGTGGGCTCTCAGGGCGCTGTCCCCGCAGGAGGAAGGGTTAAAAGTGGAGAGAGGAGCTCCTGTGGGCTCTCAGGGCGCTGTTCCCGCAGGAGGAAGGGTTAAAAGTGGAGAGAGGAGCTCCTGCGGGCTCTCAGGGCGCTGCTCCCGCAGGAGGAAGGGTTAAAAGTGGAGCTGCTCCGGGCAGCAAAAGGCTCGGGAAGCTCGCTGCCCTCGGGCCCCGGCGCTGGGCCGCGAACGCCGCCCCGGCAGCGGCGGGCGCCGGTTGCCATCTAGCGGCCCTCGCCCAGGGAGACGCGGATAAACGGAGGAAGAAAATGGGAATAAACACCGGGGAAAGGGCGATCCCATCACTGTTTTTTCTCGTTTTCTTCCTCCTATTTCTGCCCAAATCGCTTTTGCACAGGGGAGATGTGGAAGTTGGCCCTTAAGCCCAGCACCAAACACACCCCACAGGAGCTCGTTTGTGGCAGGAAAGCTGGGGAAAAATAAAAACCAACCTTTTTCACTTATTTATACATTAATGTTCACTGGTTCTAAGGCACATAATACTCTTTAATATTTAGCATTCTATCCTCTGTTGGTCACTGATTTCTACAGTCCTGTTACATCTTTTCCTCGGACAGGAAATCTCCAGCTTTCCAGGCTTTAATCTTCTCTGTATTTTCTGGTTACTCCAATGTCCTTGAAGTGCCATAAATTTAAGATCCCAGATATCCAATCTTTGGCTTTATTGAAGCTTGTCAGGGTTAGTTTTAACAAACTTAGTGTTTTGGTGATTTAATCATCTGAGTAACAAGAGTCTGTGCAGAAACTTCACTAACACTCGCCAAAAGTGGGTGCTGTTTACAATTAATTAAATCAACTAATTAAAAGTTAGTTATGAAAGTTGCATTATTTCCCTACAACGGAAACCTTTCCCCCGCAGAAGGATGGAGCCAAGGAAACAAGTGATAGACAAGGAGGAACGGCATCAAGCTGTGGCAAGGGAGGTTTATATTAGACACAGGGAAAATTCCTTCATGGAGCGGGTGGTCAGGGACTCGGACAGTGATGGAATCGCCACCTCGGCGGTGTTTAAACGATGAGAACATGCTTAGCGAGGAACACGGCGGTGGCACGAGCACCTTCACCCCTCACGGCTCCCCCCGGTCCCTCAGCACCGCCCCCACACTGTCATGGCGGTGCCTCTGAGGCGGGAAGGGGCGGGAAGGTGACCGCCCCCGCCGCGCATGCGCACTGACG